GTGAACAGAATATGGTCATCTTTTTGGTTGGCACAGAGGACATGGCTAGAGCATGCGGGCCCTCGAATGGCTGAACCTGTGATAGCCCAGGACTAACCAATCTCATAATGATTATCTTGGCCTTTGCCCAGTTTTTGCCAGTTCTTTAAAAACCACTAGACAAACAAGTTCAAAGTTTCCTCTCTCGGGATCTCTTTCCACTCTTCAGAGTTTCTCTTTTTCTTATTTTCTTAATTTTCTTTGATATTTTTTTAATAAACCTTGCTTTTGCTTTGCTGCTCCTATGAGTGCTCATGTCTTTAATCATATTTGCTATGAGAGTAAACTCAGGTACTACTGTTTCATGTTGGTCTTTGGTAGAAGTGTGTCTGGCATCCTACTTGCATAAAACACAACGGTGTTGTGAGAGAGCCTGTCACACTATAAAAAAAACCCTGAAATGTTACCATTCCTGTAATCATCCCATGGGTCATTGTCCTTGGAGTTCCAAAACTGATTGCCCCAACTGCCATAGGTGTTTTAGGAGTCCACAGTTGCTCTTCCTACAGGAGACACCTGCTAAGTGCTTTTTCCGGAGTCAGCTCCAGTACCTTAGTATTTACTATCTCAGTCTTTGTAGCAATTGGTATATCCTTTGCTCCCATAACAGTCGTATTTGCCTTCAAAGTTTTGAGAGCATTGTCTTTTTGTAGGTTTAAGACACATCAAAGCTATTTTGGGAGGACAGACTATTCATTCTTTGTATGTTTAATCATCTTGAATTCAGTCATGGTCATGTGGAAGATAATAACTCCATACTTCCAATGAGTTGCTCCCAGAACATATGGAAAGAGAGGATGAACAACTACAGTAGTGGAATAAGACATATATGATCAAGGTCAGCATTAACAACCATAATCATGTTTCTAAAGTATGTCTTTGATATATAATAAATGTAAATAAATTTATAAAGATCTATAATAAAAATATTTTTTTGTGTTGCTTTTTACTGCAATCCTGCAACTTTAAATTAATAGTGAGAAAGCTCAGACAGATCCAAGTTTGGGACATTTTATAAGATATTTAAAAAATAATCTCAGGCCCACTAGAAATAAGGAAAAGGCCCTGAGCTGTGGCCAGTGGTTGAGTAGATGTCAAGGCTCTTGGTTCACATTCAGAACCATAAAACAAAACTAAATAAAGTACAAGGAAAATATAGTTTAGTGGTAGAGTGTTAGCTTAGCATGTGTGAGGCCCTAGATTGAATTTCTAATACCAAAAAACCAACCAACCAACAAACCAAACAAACAAAAAGAGTACAAGGTGTAATAACTGGATACAGCCGGAAAGAATACAAGGAAACAGCAGCTAAGCACTATACTCTTTTTTAAGTTTAAAGTTTATTTATATTGTTGGTGTTTTCCTTGTATGTGTGTTTGTCTACTAAATGCATGCGTAGTGCCTTTAGAGACCAGAACAGGGCATTGGATCTCCTGTAACTGGATTTTACTGGCAGTTGTGAGCTGCCTTGCAGGTGTTGGGGATTGAATCTTGGTCCTGTGGAAGAGCAGCCAGTGCTCTTAATTGCTAGGCCATCTCCCTAGCCCTGTCATAGTCTTTCTATGTGACACAATCTTTTTTTTTTTATGGAGCCCTTGAATAGATCTTGTTTAGAAAAGGTAAAAACTAAGGAGATCTGGAACTTTAAGTTAAGTTAATAATAATATTGATATTGGTTCACTTATATGGCAGTAGGGGCTGCGGTGATGGAACAGGTTAATTGGTATATAGTAAGTTATACTCAGGATAAGTAAGTTAAGCTGTTCTGTAGATGACTATAGGTAGCTGCAGTGTATTAGTTCAAAATAGCTAAAAGAAAATATTTTGTATGTTTTCACGAAAAAGAACAAAAAAGATTATAAAGGTTTGAAGAGATAGATTAGTTTCCCCTGATGAAAATATTTCACAATGCATACATACATCAAAATATCATATTGGGACTGGAGGGGTGGGTCAGTGGTTAGGAGCATTGGCTGCTCTTTAACAGGATCCAGGTTCAATCCCCAGTACCCATAATGGCCGCTCACAGCTACCTGTAACTGTAGTTCTAGGGGATCTGACACCCTTGTCTGGCCTACATGGGCACTGCATACATGTGGCACATAGACTTACATGCAAATAAAACACCCATGCACATAAAAATTAAAAAAAAATTATATTGTACTCCAGGTGTGTATAGATTTTTAGGTGTCATTTAGAATAAAGTAAATGCATAAATAACAGGGGAAGTTAGTTGTGGCCTCTGTGTGAACTCTCAATTTTTCTGCAAATCTTAAACTATTATAAAGTCAAACATCTGTAAGTCAATTTTATCTGGCTGTTTTTCAAACATATATCATACTATAGTTTCTTCTTGGTTGGCCATACTTTATTTCATCATTCATCCATAAAACTAGAATTTAAAAGTATACAGTTGTAATTTTGAATGTTCTTACAGTCAAACTACTGTATTGGATTTCTACTGACTCTTACTTAATAGGTTCAGATCAGGCTGTTCTTCATTTTGGGTAGCCCCAGGTACTAAGTTCCAGTGTTCCTGAAGGTCTCTGTCAGTAGCAGCTGCGGCCTCACTGTAGCAGGCCCGGTCTTTATCTCTTGCCAGGCCCTGCAGCTATCGGCATGCACACCAGGATAAAATGTTGTTGGTCTATATTACTTAGCACTATCTCACCCTCTTACGTGGGGTGGGTGCATGGCAGGCTGTGCATGTGGAAGTACAGACAGCTTGCGGGCTGTGAGGGTTGAGCTAAGGTTGTCATCCTTGGCGGCAGCTGCCTTCGCACACTGAGCCGTCTTGCCTATCCACTTTCTACTAGAATTTCATCTGTTTTTTTCCTTGTTGTTGTTTATTTATTTTAAGGCTACCATTATACAAATGTGGCTTAGGCTTGATAATTTCCACACTTAAAGACATAACAGAACTGGGAAAATAGGTAGTTGGCTTTGAGTTGTGCAGGAAGTGTTTCATGTTAAAGCAGGAAGGAAGAACTTTCATAATATCTAGTAGACCAGACTATTAGCAATTGAAAAACCCTTCAATTTCCGTTGACTTTTCCTCCCCTTGGTGTTTCATTTCAGTTGGTTTGCTTTTTTTTTTTTTTCAATATTCTTTCTCTTTTTTTTTTTTTAATTCTTGAGATTATTATATGGTTATTTCTCCCTTTCCTTTCATCTTGTTAAAACCCTTCCAATGTCTCTCCTTATTATCTTTCACATTTATGGCCTAATTTTTTCACCAATTTGATATTACATACATATATAGACACACATATGTTTGGTTCACATAATACTACTTATATCTATGTTTTCAGGGTTGGCTATTTGGTTTTCTTATATGAACATGACAGATGATTGCTCCCAAGTAGATGTCATTCCTAAGCCTGTTTACTCCTCTACCGAATTAGAACATAGACCTGAATGAGGTCTCGATCATAGATTAAACAGCTCTTATCTTGTGTGTGTCTGCATATGCATGGGTGTATCCCAACGTATAATATATGCAAATCTACATAAGTGCAGAGAGTGTGTTGATTTTAGAACATTGGTCCCAAAATTTAGGGAAAGGATCTAAATGGAGCAGAAAAAGACAACAAATTATGGAGAAAGAAAGATAAAAGTTAATATTCATTAGTATTTTTCAATATTTTCCATAATATACCACTTTATCTTTAGCAGGTTAAAGGTTGAGCCTTGAGCTATTTGGCATGTAGAAGAAAGCTGTAGTTAGCGCTGCTTGTTTAATTTTTTTATTCTTTTTAAAAATTTACTTATTTTTTTATAATGTATTACAGTTAATTCACTTTGTATCCCAGCTGTAGCCCCCTCCCAACCCCACCCTTCCTTCCTCATCCCTTCCCATGCCCCTCCCAACTCCACTGATAGAGACTGTCCTCCTCCCCTTCCCTCTGACCCTAGCCTATCAGGTCTCATCAGGACTGGGTGCATTGTCTCCATCTGTGGTAAGGTTGCTCCCTCATCAGGGGAGGTAATCAAAGAGCCAGCACTGAGTTCATGTCAGAGACAGTCCCTGTTCCCATTACTACGGAACCCACTTAGAGACTGAGTTGCCACAGGCTACATCTGTGCAGGGGTTCTAGGTTATCTCCATGCATGGTCCTTGGTTGGAGTATCAGTCTCAGAAAAGACCCCTGTGCCCTGATTTTGTTGCTGTCCTAGTGGAGCTCCTGTCCTCTCCAGGTCTTTTTGTCTCCCCCTTCTTTCATAAGATGCCCTGCATTCTGCCCAAAGTTTGGCTATGAGTCTTAGTGTCTGCTTTGATACCTTGCTGGGTAGAGTCTTTCAAAGGCCCTCTGTGGTAGATATTAGACATATAATATAGGATAAACATACTAAAATCTGTACACCTAAAGAAGCTAAGCAAGAAGGAGGATCCTGTGTAAGATGATCAATCCTCACTCAGCAAGGTAAACGGGATGGACATTGGAAGAGGGAGAAAACAGGGAACAGGACACAGGAGCCTACCACAGAAGGCCTTTGAAAGATTCTAACTGCTTTTTGTTTAATTTCTTTTAACAAAGTTTAAATCTTGGTTAAATGTACAATTTAAATTTTTCTTAACTTAATTACACTGTGATTATTTAGGGGAATGTTTTATTCCTAGGAAACACACTGAAATATTCAAGAATAAAGGACTACGTGCCCTGGAGTTTTAATAATATATAAATACATAATAAGTCTGTTAGCGTATTCATGTATATATTTATTTTAAATCAACATATGATCCTGGATTCTTAGTGTTATCATTTTCTTTGTTGCTCAGATAGACTCAGATATTGGTTACACTTTATTAATTGGTTACACTTATGTCTCTATACTGTCTTAATTTTAAATGAAAGACAACTTAGAACTTGTGATGGGGGTGAATTTTCATTGATTTAAAGGAACAGTTTTAATCATCTTGAAAATTGAAGTGTTTTGTTTTTGTTTTTATTTTTTTTAAGAGTCAAGGTGAATTTGGGACATGGCCACTGCTTCACCAAGGTCTGATACTAGTGATAACCACAGTGGAAGGTTACAGCTAAAGGTAACTGGTAAGTGATTTTAATAATAATGCAATGTTGTGGTGTTAGATGAAATTGATCTTACATACATAATTAGGCAACTATATTCCATAAGTCCCACATACATGGTGAAGCAGGACTGAAGTTAGGCAGCACTGGGTTTTAGTGTCTTACCTTCATGTTGTATTCTTTTTTTCCCCGCCTTGACTTTATCACTTTGTTAGTCTATATTTTTGGAGTAAAAATCACTTCATAAAATTGATAATCTTGATTTCACAATAACTTGTGTAATGAAAACTACTTCTTCTGACTATAAAGGAGAAAACAGGTCCAGAGGAACTAGTGACTTCTCTTAGTAATAAGGATGTTAATTGGGAGTCTTCTTTTTTTTTTTCTTTCTTTCTTCCCCTTTTGGTCTTGGGGATTGAAGCCAGGGTCCTGTGCATGTTAGCCAAGCATTCTACACTGAACTGCATCCCCAGTCCAGCTTACTCTACTAGCCCCTTTATATTTTTGAACAATCTGGTACCATCATGCAAGGCCCCTTCTATTATTGAAGTCTGGCAGTTGTTTTTCTGTAAGCTGAGAGAATCATGATCCCTTTTGCTTAGCAGCCCATGAAAGAATGAATGATCAGGCTGCCAGGCTTAGGATGGACATCACATGAGCAGCAGATTTTTATTCTTTTTTGGGGGGAGGTATTCTTTTGTTTTGTTTTTGTTTTTTGATAGAAGGTTTCTCTTTGTAGCCTTGGCTATCCTGGACTCACTTTGTAGACCAGGCTAGCCTCAATTTTACAAAGATCTGCATGGCTCTGACTCCTGAGTGGTAGGTGCACCATCACTAATTCTGTTGATTTGTTGAAGCAGAAAATGCCTTAAACTCTTTCACAGATTGAAAGCTTATCTGGGTCCTGTATTGCCCTGAGGTCACTGTTTCCTTCATCTAGTGCTAAGTAGGAGGCATCTCCTTAATGATGTTACTCTTCCTATCTCTTCCAACACAGCACTGTCTGCCTCATTAGATGCCCCATTCCTTTCCTCTCCAAACTATTCATTTTGCATTTATTTCTGCCCTTATACCTTTTTTCATTGTAGATCCAGTAAGCGTTTTAAACTATAGTCACGTCACAAATTGCCTCTGCTAAAGAAATTAGTCAATTACTTTTTAATTTTTGCGTCAGGCAAGTTCTTAGGATAAGGGCAAAAAGCAGACAGATTCTTTGCCAGAATTTTATACAAATGGCCATATGTCCAGTAGGTAATGTTGTTCTCCTCAGAAATACTTTTTGAGCTTGGCTTTCACTATCTGCATTGTCCTCAGCACCACTGTTTTCTGAGGTCCTGCTAGGATGGCCCAGTAAACTCTGCTTACAGTTTTCAACTGTTTTTCTAGTCTAACATACCAAGCTTTTCTACATTCCTCCAAAAACCACTTGGTTTAGTCCTTTACAGCAACAGCTGACTCTCTGGCACTTATTTGTGTATCACTTCTCTTACTGCTATGATAAAACACCATGGCCAAGGCAACTTACATTAAAAAAAAAACCTACTGTATTTGGACTTACTGTATTTGGTTACTGAGAAGTAAGAGTCCACGGTAGTGAGGAAAGCATGACAGCAAGTGGCAAGTGTGGCATCAGGATCAGGAAGATGAGAGCTTCTATTTTCAAGTGCAAGTACAAAGCAAAGGGAACTTGTTTAGTTTAGGTTTTTTCAGTCAAGGTCTTACAAATGTAGCCCATATTGCCCTCAAACTAACTATGTAGTCAAGGCTAGCTTGACTTTGTGATCATCCTACTTCAGTTTCCCAAGTACTAGTACTACAGGCATGTACTACCACCATATCCATCAGAATATATTTTCCTTTTTCTTTCTTTCTTTCTTTCTTTCTTTCTTTCTTTCTTTCTTTCTTT